CACCTAGTGAACGAGGAAATGTGTATGTCCTTGTTATGATAGACCAGTTTACGAAGTGGATTGAGTGTGTAGCACTTCCAAATCAAACTGCTCAGCTAATAGCCAAAGAATTCCTTCTCCACTTCATTGTGACATCTGGGTGTCCACTCTCCGTCCACACAGATCAAGGCCGTAATTTTGACGGGGACCTGTTCAAGGCTATGTGTAATGCCTTACAGATATCTAAGACAAGGACGACACCTTATCACCCATCTTCGAATGGACAGGTTGAGCGATATAATAGGGTCCTCCTTCAGATGATTCGTTGTTACATAGAGAGCAAAGTAAGAACTTGGGATGTCGACTTACCTCTACTAGTAATGGCCCTTCATTCAACAGAGAACCGTTCCACAGGATATACGCCTAACAGACTCATGCTTGGACGTGAAGTTATTTTGCCACCTGATATTGTGACTGGAATGGCAAGTCTTACGTTGACTGAATATGAGCCAGATGAATGAGTGAGGCATCTGGACAAGATTATGATGGAAGCCCACTCGTTTGCGATGAAGCAACTTGATAGCGTACAGAGAAGGCAGAAACGCCTGAACGACTTGAAGCTAAATGAAAGGACATATACGGAAGGAGATATCGTCTATAGGCTAAATGAGGCAACAACAGTCGGACAGAGTCGCAAGTTACAGTCACCCTGGAGGGGTCCCTACCTTGTCATTTCAGCAGATCCACCATTATACACTGTTGTAGATCAGAAAGAGAGACGATTTACTTTACATCATGACAAATTAAAGAGATGCAATGACAGGGAATTGCCATTGTGGATACGGCGACTAAGGAACAAATATTTTGAAGGGGATGAGAGCTCACCTGGTGTCAATAGTGAGGAGAACACTTTCATTAATACAGATGACAGCCTGGAGGATTCAAGTGAAACAGAAGATACAGTTATAGAGACAAACGAGCAGGACATTGTTGTTGACCTGGAGATAATTCAAGAATCCACTGGTACAACTAGGGCAGGAAGGAAGATCAAGAAACCTGCTCGTCTGGAAGATTATGTATAATTAGAAGTTGTGCTCTTTTTATTTGGTTTTATGGTGCCAGGCAGGCATGAAGTCGAATTTTATTGAGGTTATTTATCTTAATAAGGTACTAATAATAGTTTTTTTGTTATTTGATGATATAATATTTAGCAGTGTCTATTTTTGTATAGGAAGATGTCCGATTATATGGAAGAAGCGTTTTTTGTGCCAGACTATGAAGAAGATATGGAGGATAGTGCAGTAACAACATCACAGAAGTCGAAGAAACTGTCTGGACGGAAGTGTCCATTGTGCACTGCCAGGACACCAGCTATAAAGCCCCATCTTTTACGCACCCACCTTCCTTGGTACTTTGGGGCCTTGACAGCATGCTGGAAATGTGGGGTCCAGGAAGGGAAGCAGTGTTTTCTTAGAGCTAAGCATACCAATGCTGAGGGCCATCCCGAGGGTGTTTTGTTTAATGAGGCCAATAGAGCAGCATCTTTATGTGGAGGTTACGAATCCTGCAGCGTCAGAACTCACTGGTGGTGAGATTGAGTTACTGAACCTGTTTGAGGATGCTAATGGTCTTGCGAGGTCCCAATGTTTTTCCATCCATACGCCGACATCTGTGGCTTCACTCGTCCATTGGAGGGTCATCTGGAATATTTTAAAACTCCTGTTACCTGCTAAGCAGCGAGATGTGCTTTCAACCATACAAGAGACAACTTTTTCTGGAGACTTAGTAGTACCAGCTGTTTCTCTTAGTTAGCCAGATCCACTCAAACAACATTTTGGGGATTCGCATTTCCATCTGGACATCCTACTTTCGCGAACGGGACTCAGGGAATTTGCTGCATTAGAGGATAAATATGGTGACTCTGACTTTCAACTTGATGTGGCAATTGCTAACTATGTATTTCAAGATCACTGGGAGCGATTCCGTCAGCAGGTTAAGGATCCAAGGATCTACCTTACCTTTGGTCTCCATCCCCACATTGTAAAGAGTGATTTCTCCATAGTGCAGCTGCGGGAACTTCTGAGTGAGCCTGGTTGTGTTGGTTTAGGAGAGGTTGGCCTTGACTTTACAACATCCTGTCGCTGTAGTCCCAGATGCCGTAGCCTACAGCAATGCAAGAGGGATTCGCTTGCGTGCCAACGATCCTTCCTGAGAGAAATTCTTCCTGTAGCTAAAGACAGGGACCTCACACTAGTGGTGCACTGCCGAGACCTACACTCCGGGTATGCAGCTAAAGAATTTCTCTCTATTTTAGAGGAGTTGGGCCTGACAGACTTGCGAAACCACAGGCACTGTTTCATCGGGAGCACGGAAGAAGCCGTTGAATGGATGGACCGATTGCCAGATGCAAAATTCGGCTTTACTTCTAGCCTCCTTGGGTTGTTTGAAACAGCAGATGCTCTTTGTGCCATGCCAATGAGTAGGATTTTACTTGAGTCAGATGCCCCATACTTGCCACCAACTTCCCGTATGAATATCAATACTCCATGGGCCCTTTTGCCAGTTGCGGAGAGAATTGCAGAGCTAAAGAAGACAACAGTGTTTGTCGTTCTGGGAAAAACCCTCCATAACCTGAAGTCCCTTTATCGTATTTAATTCATATTGCTTCATGTTTATTGTATATCACATATTTCTTGCAATGTGGTGACTTGCCGCATTATTTGTTTTTATTTCAGGTCCCGGATAGGATCAATTCTTTGGAACAGGGGGGAATGTAGTACAATTCGTTATATGTATCCTGTGTTGAGCCCGTGTATGTATTCCCGTGTTGAACCTCTTATGTGTATGTGTGCGTATGACGTCACGCTTTTTTGTGTAGTATTAGAAGAAGACGCCATTCTGTGTAAGAACCTACGGGTAACCACTGTGAACTATTTCGACCTGCTGTGTGCGGTCTGGGGCTGCTGTGTGCGCCTCACATACATAATAACTTGCTGCTGTGTGCGCTCGTTATCTGTGTATATTTGTGTATTTGTTAACTGTCTTGTTTTGTGTAATAAATATCATTACAACAATTGTGTAAGATTAAGCTGTCTTTCTATAAACTCCAGCCATAGATGTAATACGCACTGGAATAATGTTACATTACGGAATAGATAAACAATGCACAACCAGCTACCAGCATTTTTCAGAATAGTACGAATAATTGCTACACGTGTTTAAAAATTCAGAATCTATAGTGAAGCGGATATCGTTGAACTTGATATTTTCGAGGGACTGAACCCCTCATTCTAGCACGTTTGTGTTGAAATGTGCCCTGTACGGCTATAGATAAAGTCTACACATTATCAATTTAGCTTGACAATAAAACGTGGATTGATATATTTTACAATATGTCTTTATTTTGGTCCAGTTTAGCTTGTGTCGTATTTATTTTTATTTTTAAAAACTACGACAATAGCTTGATCCACGCCTCAAGTACAGAGAAACTGCGTGTCAAACTAAGAAATGACGTCATCTCAGTAAGTACAGCGAGATCAAGCTGGCTTTCATTCTACATACTATAAGAGCTATTTTTGGAAAGATAGATTTTGCAAATCCATTTTCTTTATAATATTTATGAGAAACTAAAGTATTTGAGTGTGTGTTTTAAAAGGAACATATAGTATTTATTCATCGAGATTCATTTGTATAGTTTAAACGTGACGTCATAATAGCTTTCCCAAACCTCTGCATAGGTTGATGTAAATATGGGAGTCCTTAACCTAGCTGCGGTATTTTCAATTTAAAATGGGTACTTCCATTGATGTTTCAATTCGATATATACCAGGGAACTTGAAATGAAAGATTCCACAGAGTCTGAAACATCTGTTTAATATTTGGATATTTTACTAAAAGAGACATTAATAGTAACCTAAGAAGAAAACTTTATGATAAATGTAATGACTTTTAATTTTCTATCGTCAACTTCTTTTACTTCACTTATGTAGCATTATACAGGTACCCATATCACCTGCAAATGAGGTTTATGTCTCCCAGTTGATTCAATACGCTAGAGTGATGTTCTACGTACGAACAACTTCTAAAACTAAGCAAGCTTTTGACAAACAAATTGATGAAACGAGAATTCAACACTTTCATTTAAAGTCATCATTTCGCGAGTTCTATGGTCGATACAATGACCTTGTCAGCAAATTCAATCTCTCATTAAGTCGAATGCTGACTGACGTTTTTCATACTAATTGTTAGACCATTATTTACACACTGAATTGTTTACAGATTTTCCCATTTTCCCAATCATGACAAGGAGTACATGGCGGGTGTGACTGGTCGACAGGGGATGCTTACTCCTCCATGGCACCTGATCCCACATCTGTTGTTATAAAGGTCCATGTTTGCTCTGTTCCAGATTTGAATTGTTTCAATAAACTTTTGAACTTTATTACTGTTCGTTATCTCCATATTTCATGAAGATGATTTTTGAATAAATTCTGCTTCATATAAATATAAAAACAGGTCTGCAAATAAAGGAACACCATTAGTGTCCAGCGTAATTCCAAAAACATGTAAGATATGTTGCATGTGTAAAGTCTCCTTAATCTTTTTTCTTTTGATATAATATAGAACAACGACAGAGAGAGCGTATGTATGGATATAAACTCTACATCTCTAACAGTACAGATTTCAGTCTGTTACAAGAGGCTTACTTGTGTTACAATCATACAGGACCAGATTTACCCGATCTTAACGTTACTCATATATGTGTATCGTTTGGTCGATATGTAATTTTCTACAACGAAAGAGTTCCTGGTGTGACGTATCCGAGCAATCAGCAATATACTTACACACAGCTCTGCGAAGTTATTGTACAAGGTAGGAAGTTTTTTTTCTTTTACAGATCACTTTAATTGATTGCACTGGAAATAAACACATACCATTTATCTTATTCATTAATAATTAATATTAAATATATAGCTAAGAGACGAGATATTTTGAAAGAGACTAATACATATGTTTCAAAGGTTGTGAAAGGGACGATGCTTATGGAAATCTCTGTAATGAAACCTGTCCTACAAATTGCCAAGAGAGAAGGTGTTACATAACTAATGGTACTTGTTCTGGATGTATTGACGGCTGGACTGGGGAAAAGTGTCTTGATGGTAACATATTACTTACACCTCTGATGTTTTTCTGCCAACCAGAATTCCCTCCGTTTTCCGCCGTTGCCATCTTGTCTGTCTTACTGAACAAACTCTAGAGATAATTGTACATAGTGACGTCACCAAAAATTTGGGGTGTTCATTTTGGCCGAATTTCCGAAAAGCGATTTGTTGTCTATAGATAGCACGATCTAAAGTAGCATTTACAACGTTTACGACCAATTGTGTATTTTGACGTCAGTATCGAATACTTATGTGCAATGACTGTAAATCTATCACTGGCAAAAATATAACAGGTCACTTTTAGATTCCATGCACACTGAAATTTTTGTATATTGATTCATGTGATGTACTTGAATTCCTTATAAAGCCATTGAAGATAAATAATTTGTACTACTCCAAAGATTTTTTTGTGTGTTTTGATAACTAATTCATTCATTTCTGCAGGAATTTTACAAATTTAATTCCAGTCTACTTTTAAAAACGAATGATTTAGAATATGAACAATTATTGGTTTATTTTTAATCAGTCCAGCAAATTAAAATGTATTAGGATTGGGTATTGGCTAAAGACTGCGATATACTGCGATTTCTAACTGTATTGCGATATGTATTGCATTATCAAAATTCCCTTTACATGCAGAATGTACATAGCTACGATAAATGACCAAGAAAAAAATCTTGTTGATTAATTCCAGTTATGCATCAAAATGCACCAATGAAACAGTTTTTGCCTAACTGTTGACACAAAACAAACGTTTCTGACAACTTATATACAAGTATATTTTATATTTTATTACTGAAATCCGAGTCCAAGTATTTTGCCGGTATATCGGTACTACAAAAACGTAATGTAATACTATATTTTTGTCATCGTACCTAAATATACTGGAATATCGGTATTATTGCCTAGCCCTATGATGTATAGTAACTTTAGGTACGGGACTTTTTCTTATATTTCCCATTCTATAAGACATTCAAGGATCAATACCGGTTATTTTAATAAGGAAAGTGTCGGAAATTTAACATAAGTCTTAGATTGGACGTTGAACGTCCCAATTGAGAATTTTTACTCATGAAGAAACTCACCATCCTTAAGGAGGAGCAGGACCAATATTTTGTATATTACTAATTTAGAATGTCCTACATATCTTAAAGCAGTTTTTTCATAAGACTTCTCGACTTATTTAAGAGATATTGCCTTCACAAATATTGCTCCGTACCGTGTTGTATGAAGTTTAGTTTCTTCATGTTTAAGTACAAATAAAGGATATGTATATGAGAACAAGTATTACTTTAAATATTTTACAATATGAATTGAGTTTAACATTCTTTAGGCAAGATTTTTATTCCACACTGTATATGGATTGGATAATTTACGCACTTTTCGAGACAACTTGAACGACAAAAAAACTCATTTGTAATCGTGATGAAAACGCTGTATATTTTCCGAGTACGGGAAAAACAACTATGACGTCAGACGAAAGCCTTAAAGCCTTTATATAAGATATAAATATACAAAAAAAATCTGCTAACATCCAAACAAAATTATGACTGTGTTTCTTTCATTAAATACCTCAAAATAGGCTGGCAATAATCTGTTTCATATAATAAAGTTGACCGTGTAATCATGTGTACTTGATCTTGCTGCACTATCAGATTATATTCGTCGTCACTGACTTGTTCGACGCACAGTATAGGGGGAAACAGAGGAATTGATCAATCTTCACAATTTGTAAATATTGATATGAATTTTAAAACTTTGAAATATTTTCATATAAGGTGATAAAATGCAACAATTTGCAAAAGAAAAAAAAAGGACCACTACTGGCAATTTTAATAACGTTTTAGCATCTTTATTAATAGGCATTATTACGTGGTCAATTGTGTCATGTGACATGTGTCCTGCATCCCCTTAAATTAAGTGCAACACATTTCGACCTGTGTATGGTGCTTAAAGCTGAACACGACTCGTAAATTGCTATACACCATGTTAGTTCTCCTATCTCATAAGACAGCACTACGGTATAGATAGCCTTCTCATTCGTTATACCTGATTGCACAGCTGGATCTCATGGTCTGCTTTTATAGTATATCTTGTCTAAATTTTTACACTTTATTCCGTTAACGTGTATAAATTGCTTATTTTTAATGAATTGCCCTGTGCAACTGATGTTACTGTTTCTCTTGATGTGGTATAGAACTATAGTTACATACATTTGAAATAGTATCACAGCCGAGTTACAATGGCTATGTAAGACAAATCCACACATGTGAGATCTTTACAGTGAAATACTTCCATCGTGAAGAATTCAGGGGCTTATATAGGGGCTCAAGGATAAGAGGCTTTCGGAGAAAAATATAACGGACAAGGATAAATCTTTTCCTTTTACAAGTCGTGTTAAGCTTTAATCGCGGCCAAAGTAGTTAGGGTACTATATTGTACCAGTACCTTTTGGAACACGGCACTTAACGAGGCGCGTGATTTTGCGCAACTTTTTAATTTCATGCAGTCATATTTGCAACATTACACCTTTCCCAAATATTGTGATTTTAATATAGAATTAACATTATCTGTAACACCTATAGGTCTGAAATTGTGCTTTTAGGACAATATTTAGGAAAAAAACGCTGAAATGGCTCTAAAGACGTCAGTGTTTTCCGATGCATGACACTGAGGAATGACACATGACTCGCTTGTATATTCAAGACATCCATGGATAAAAACTTTTGACAGAACATCAAAAGAAACATACTAGCAATCTAAACATTGCTAATTTTTTTTACCAAAATAATTCATCTGCGCCGATAATTCATCTGCTCCGATATATACATATACCGCAATATGGCAATTTGAGAGGTAATGGGCATTGAAAAAATAACGTTGTAATAATTCCTACACCAACCTAGATGGTCAACATTTTTGAAATTCACAATTTGATGACTTTTTACAAGAACTTTCATGTACTTGGCTGAAAATGAAATCTCTATTGCAGAAATACCAAAAATATGGGGAAAAATGTGATAATTTGGCGCTTTTCCAACAAATTCCCATTGGGTCAACTGTTTAAATTTGACAACTTTTGAGATGGTCCCCTAAGAAATCGGGACAGTTAACATTCGATTTTTTTTTATCTTTAAGCAATAAATGAAAAATTGAGGCAAATTAAAAGTAGACAATAAATAAAATGTATAGACTGTTTTTTTTATATGAAAAACAAAATCTAGACCCTCTTTATTGTGAAACATTTAAACATGTGAAATTCCAATTATAAATTTGCAGAGAGTTGTTTGAATATTTTCTGATAAAATGTTTAAAAGTAAATTTGTAAAATGAATGTCTCTTTAAGCTTGTCCATCTGGATACTATGGAGCTGAATGCAAGGGAACATGTTCAGACCGATGCAGAAATAATTCTTGTAATCACATGAGTGGTCATTGTGATGGATGCCGTTCAGGATGGACGGGATATGACTGTAATGAAAGTAAGATATACATGACAATGTAATACAAACAATGATGACGGCTAGCATTTTGAATTTTGAGCGGATATCAATATTGATTCTCTATGCATTATTGGAAATTCTCTGTTACTGAGGTATACAATTTTTAATATAAGTAAATATAAATAATATAAATAATATAATATAAATAAATATAAATAAGTAAATTTTTAATATCTACTTTAAAGGTAGGGGGTACATGTAAGTTCAATGTTATTTATTTACTTCAATTGACAATATCAATTTGACATCATATCCTTTTTACATAAATAACCAAATCAGTAAAAGTTTGTTGTTTTGAGTAAAAATACTTTTTCTTGATAAACTCATACTCTTCAACTAATTAACTGAAAAAGTTCAATTTCAAAAGCAGATTAAATATCACATATATTTCATGTACCTGATTTATGTTTTGGTTTTTGTTTTTAAATTTGTGCATTAATGTTGGAGAATATTTGGGAAAATATGAGAGAAATATTTTGTTTTACAGCATGTATTTATGGAACATACGGAGAAAATTGTCGAAATAACTGTAGTGGAAACTGTGCAAAGCAGGAGTATTGCAACAAAGAAAGCGGGGACTGCGAGGACGGATGTGCACCGGGTTATAAAGGCACTAAATGTGAAAAAGGTGATAAACACATTTTGTTGATACACATCATTTCATAACCGAGGTGATTTTTTTCTAATGTTTTAAGGTATTATTGGAAAGTAAGATATAAAATTAATTCGTCGCTAAAAATTTGCATTCTGTGGTTTTTGGAAACAAGGTCACTGTATCGACTATAATTTTGCGAAATGTTGACTCATAACGAAATTATTGTATCATCAACTTATTGTCAGTAGCTTGTCCCATTTTAGAATTTGTTCGCAAGTAGAAAATGTTCTTGTGTATCGAATCAACTGGGAGACATAAACCTCATAAGAAGCAGATATTTGTACATTTCAACATAAATAAAGTGAGTTGACGATATGAAAGTGGAAGTCATCAGTTTATCGTAAAGTTTTAGTAGTTCTTATAAGCAATAACAGTATCACATAATTATGTAAGGTAAGAAGTGATTAAAACGAAAGCTTCCCTGAAACTAAGATGTTTTTGATTTTCTTTATCTTTTAGAAATCATACCTTTTAGCTTCTACAGTATCTCTTATAAAGCATTTCTTCAAATAAAAGCTCTGATGTATTTTTTGATATATTATGTGTTTATAATTCAAAACAGTGTCACTTCAATTTTATTGAAAAACATAACCCTGGAATTTTTCTAGAATTTTTTTTCCACCCATTTCACGCTCCTAAGATATTTCTCATTTTAGATATCCATATAGTATACCGAAGGTATACTGGGTAAAATGTTACAAGAACAAAAAATTCTTGTAATGATAACTTTGTTTTTTTTTTGTCATTTTACTTTATCAAAACAGTTCTGTCAACCAAGATGTTATAGCAGATTTGTTATGACAACTTTGTCATTTTACTATAAAATAATTGCATTAAAAAGATATCTTTGTGTTATGTTGTACTTTGAGACTGGCAGATCACTACGATTACAAAAATTAAATTTACATAAGAAGAGTTTATATAGAATAGTTATTTAAAGCTGTATAATTTTCGCAATTATACTATTTTTTCAAAAAATCCTCAGATTGAACGATTTATTAACTTTTCTTCAAATAAAGAGGGAGGGAGAAAAAATACAAATGGCAGATAAACAGTTTTCTGTTATATACATGGGTTAACCGTATCTATTTTTAAAACATAATTTTTCATATATGTATACATTTTTATTTTACAGAATGTGATTTTGGTATATATGGCGCAAATTGTGTAAAACTGTGCAGTGGAAATTGCCTTGAAAATAAAACCTGTAATAAGGTTAATGGAGAATGTATAGATGGATGTAGAGTGGGTTATAAGGGATCTTTGTGTTATGAAAGTAAGCACAGAAAGTAAAATTCTATCATGTTGTAAACATTGCATTGTTCTCAAAGACAGATAAATAATTGCTTAACTTTCTCCATTATTAAAAGCATATATGTAACAGTCTACGAACTAGTCATAAATTGATATTAAGAATGGATTTTGCTTTTAGTGTCAGAATAGAGATAAACATTGATATCAGGGTTTTTCACAGTTTGTGATAGAAGCATGTTTATTTCATTTATACCACGGTTCTTTCCTTCCATGTAAAAGGGCTTTATTTCGAACACATAACATATTTGTCTAACATATTAAATAACAGTGTTTCATATATTAGAGAGAGAGAGAAAAAACATCTTAGATCTTTAGTGTTAAATTTCATACAATGTACATTTTATCCTTTCTTTTATTTTTTATGAAGCTTGCGAACTTGGTACATTTGGACAAAACTGTTCAGATGAATGCAGCAAACACTGCATGAACAAATCTTGTAATTATGTAACTGGCGCCTGCGATAATGGTTGCATGCCTGGATGGAGGAATGATAAATGCAACAAAAGTAATTATTACATAAAATTTACAGATTATACAAGAACACATTTACATGTATTTTACATAAATATATTTCCCCCATTCCTTTGTGTTATCTAATAAGATTTTGTCAATATTTGAGTGTTGTTATATAACTTATAATTGAAAAATCATCAACATATACTCAACTTTTACTAAAACATTTTATTCGGGTATTTCATTTTTAGAAAGAGCAGCGTTAATAGAATTTATGCTTTCTACACAGACTATTTTCATTTTATGAAGAATGTAGTGATGGTACGTTTGGTATTATGTGTGAAGAGGAATGCAGTGGATATTGTTGGAACAATGAAACTTGTTACTATGTCGACGGTCATTGTATGATGGGATGTCAACCGGGATTTCAAGGCGAGAAATGTGACGCCCGTTAGTCTTCACTCCTTTTTCAGCACCTTTTAAACATGACGCATTTATTCATTCATTCATTCATTCTTTCATTCATTCATTCTCTCTCTCTCTCTCTCTCTCTCTCTCTCTCTCTCTCTCTCTCTCTATATATATATATATATATATATATATTCAATAAAATATTTTTCCTCGGTATAGGGATAAAATAAAATCCAAATTTAAATGAAAAACTCAAACTTTAATCTATAGCGCTTTCGCCCCATGCGGGCTTATCAGTAGATTTGAAATTATAAACAATGTAAATAATGTAACTTGTTTATTGTTTCAAATCTACTGATGAGCCCGCATGGGGCGAAAGCGCTATAGATTAAAGTTTGAGTTTTTCATTTAAATTTGGATTATGTATATATATATATATATATATATATATATATATATATATATATATATATATATATATATATATATATATATATATAATATTTTATTTCATGATATATTCTAATTAATGCTTCTACTTTGATTTATTTTTGTTGGAATTTCTAGCTTGTGACTCAGGATACTTTGGTGAAAATTGTTTGCAACTGTGTTCCTTAAATTGCTATAATATATGCGATAATGTAAATGGACTCTGCAAATGCAAAGAAGGATGGATGGGAATTCATTGTTCCGAAGGTATATTACGATTATTATGGCAGACTTGATTAAATACGACATAAGTACCTGTCATGAGGCATTTTATTTATTGATAGAATTATTTTCTTTTTTTTATTTGGGGTAAGGGTAACTTGTAAATATTCTGGCACAGAAAGAAGAAGAAAAAATTATAACCTCATATTATTTTAGATATAAACTCAAAAGAATTTGACCTTATCAAAACTAGAGTTAAAAAAACCTTCCCTTTAGAATCTCGGGTCACTTTCTCGGTCGATTTCTTCAAAGTTATAAACTGTTTTATTTCATTATATAGACATTCCTTTTTAAATCGTTTTGCACATTCATTTTTAAGTATGAGAGAGAGAGAGAGAGAGAGAGAGAGCTTTTACGACTATTCCTCTCAAGTGGAGACATAATCTATCGGTATTGTTTCTCTCTATCTTTACATAAAATATGTTAATACCCGTATTAATATCAAATTATAGGGTTATTAATATATGCATCGACGAAGTATTTAAGTATACAATTCAAATAGACTCTCTAAAATGCTGATTAACTTTTCCCCATTGCTATTTTTTCATTATTTGTTCACACAACAGAAATGTATTTGTTCTGACAACTCATACTGGTAGAAACCCCGGGGAGAGGAGGGGGACAAGGGCACAAATAATTTTCCGATGTTTATAGTATACTATAGAAAAACTATTATAGAAAACATACTTACTTTATTCTTGTGCCAATCAATAATAACGTTTATATAATTGTTTTTTTCTCTGGAAAATTGCTACTTTTACTGGAGATTGCTACTTTTATTCTATTGTAACCTCAGTGTGTCCACCTGGCACATATGGAAAAAACTGTGAAGGGAAGTGTAGTGGAAACTGTATCAACAACGATACCTGCTACAACATTAATGGACATTGTCTCTGGGGTTGCCATGATGAATTTCGTGGGAAACGCTGTGATGAAAGAAACGACATTGGTACGAGAAGTACAGCAAAACAGTAAATACTTCCTTTCGATGTTAATAACGATGAAGGAGAAAATAACGAACAGTGATAGATCTCAAAAATTCTACAAACAATATAAATCTTTGAAAAGGGCATAAAACAAGGACCCCAGGAAACTCCAGAGGTGGGATCAGGTGCATAGGGGGAGTAAGCATAAGCAAGATATGCATATCATTAACAAGCAGATTATATATAAAGTCATATACTAGTACTTTGTTTTGTTTTTGCGGTCCAAATGTCATTATCCTGTTGTTCAACACGTTGCAGTATCAATACTGCATGCAAATTTGTATGTGGCCCGTATGTCAGTATGTGGGTGTGTGGAGTGTCTTTGTAGAAAATCTGTGAATAATTCAGGTCATCCAAATATTGTAATATATATCTTTATTTTATACCTAATATTACGCGGTCGTCTAGTTTTCATACTTGTAAAATCTATGTTCATCATGCCTGCCAGAAAAATTGTTCGTTTACGATTTTATTGAAAATAATATGTCAGCTTATTTTGATACGATTGTAGTAATAGTTCTTATCATCATATTTACCTGTTGTTGCTTCATGCTAGATCGTAAGAATTATTATAATATTACGGATAAGACGGTGGATTTAACATTTTATGTGTTTGGTAGCCATCATACTTTACTCGGATCGTCACTTCCGGTTTAGTGTCATATTTACTATGGCATTCTATGGTTCAAGATTACAATATTGGATCATATTCAACATTTTAGTGTGAGTTGTCGTGTATTTTGAGGCTATAAGTAGTTCTTTATTGTTAGCATTATCTTTATAATCAGTCAGCTTAATCAGGACCACATTTGTTAACGCTATCGTTGGTAGTTACGATATTTATACTCTGCATTGTTTAGTACATACATGTATTGTACAGGCTAGGGATGTTTTGTAAACATTGAAGGTGTTAATTGATTCATCTAGTCAAATTCATTTTATGTATTCTATTTCCAGTTGTTCATTTTACATTGTAATATTACGATATTGCACGGTAGTTTCTGTGGAAAAAGTTATTCTGTGTGGGAACTTGTGTGGGAACTCAGCTTCCCGTACCAAGCTGTTGGTTGGTTGATGGTTCGTACGGCATATTTTGATTGGATTGTTTGAGTCATGTGACAGGGGATGGGAGGTTAAACAGGCAAGCGCGTACTACGCTACGACATATTTCAGCGTTGTACGGCGGCAACATTTAAAAGAAAAAAAAGGCGGTGAGATACTTATAATGTAAAAAACATGTAATTAGCCTAGTTAGAAATCTCCTACCACATTGGACGACCTAAACTTGTGTTTCTGAAGAATTAGCCATGTTTTCTTATGTTGTTATATACAGAAACCTTATCATTTCTGTACTGCCTATATCATTATGCTAATGAGATGCTATACGTACAATAAATGATCATTCATCTTGAGTACTATTCAACCAAGTATCTATAGAGAAAGGAGACTGGTCTATTTTACATGAGAGCAAATTAAATTGGTGCATCCTGGTAAATATATGATTTATTTAGATGATGAAGCAATGACCTGTATGCATGCAGAGGATTCAGAAATACTAGCCATTCCTTGAGTAGCTTACAGTATGTTTACCAACCCACCTTCCTATCAAGCTACAAGTCAGTCTATGAACCCACTCTGATTTCTTAGAACCAACCAAATCTCCCAATCAAGCCCCAGAAGTGTGTTTTTGGTTTAATCTTCGTATTTCCATTCCATATCTTAGGAATAGTAGTGGTCACATTAAAGTGTCATATATCAATAAAATGTTAAAATGCACACTACTGCCAAAATAAATCATTATGGCAATTAAAATACCTGAAATGTTGTACTTACTTTCTGTATGCTTACTGTCGTATTATTTAGCATAAGCGTATATAAAACTTCAGACACTAATGTGAAAGTATTGCAGGTTTCACGCGTTAGGATGCTTTTAGTAATGTTTGAATGTTTTGAAATTGCAGAAAAAGAGATGCGTAATTCATATACATGTACCTTTGTATGCTGATGCGAGTAAATGTTGAATTATTTCTATATATTCTTAAATGTTTGCGTTACAATAGGTTTTACAGGATCAAGCAAGGAAGAAAGAGGCAACATTAACGGTCTTACGACAGGATTGGTTATTTCCTTACTGTTGAATGTTGGATTCTTTTTTATAGTCCTTTATCTCATCAGGTATGTTTAACTCCAACCGTGAAGGTTTTCCATAACTTCATCTGTCAATTGTCTAATGTATTATTTTGATTCAGGGTTGTATGAAATTCTAAACAATAGTATGGAATACTTAATTATCACTTTTGTTCATATCCTAGGAAATTTGAAAACACATTATGCAGTGTTATGGTTTATAACTAAAATCATAGCATTATTCAATTCAGAAATAAGAGAAATGAAAAGGGAAATGGCGAGCCGTCATACGAGATCAGTGACAGAGAGGGTTTCCAACAAAGATCAATACCTGACGGCCATGTTGAGAATCATGCATACGAGGAGCTGAATACTACACAAACCGTCCACATTTATCGGAATCTCTCGCTTAATAACAACAGAACAAACGCTATTCAACTACCTCAGTAAATATTAGATTTATATTATGTGACTAATAATATGCAAAGAATAAAATATATATATAAAGCAATCTTTCTCTTAATATTTAAAACAACCACCTACCAACGTTGATTTAACATCATTCTGGATTTTATACATTTCGTGCAATTCTCAGGTTTTGTCATAACAGACTAAGACATATTGTATGCGAACGAAATTTCTCTTACTGCAAATCTGGTGTTGCAACGTTTCGCCACTCTCTTGAAATCAATTAACAAAGCTA